GAAAATATATTGCTTGCAACAAACAATTCTTTGAAGGTGGCTGGTTATTAACATTAATCACTTGTTATAAAAAAAATCAGAATTTACCTACAGTGTTCATTTTACCCATTTCTTAATTGATCTAATTGTGAGAAGAGTGATTAAGCCAAGAAAGCCTTGAACAGTTGCATAAGATATTATACAATCGTGTTAAAAGCAAGTGACATGAATTGATAAATTATCATTGGTACTATTCATATTGAATATTGTGATAGAAACCCTAAGGAAATGTGGTGTTTTACTCCAACTTCCAAACATATTATTTCCATAGACACATCGCTTTACTTCAGAATTGTATCTCTTATAATATAATATCACCCCAGGTTCATTTTTATATTTGATTCTTTGTGTTGTTTCAGAATGGAAAGATTGAGTGAAAAAAGTTAAAGCATTAGGATATCTGAGTACATAAGATCACTTTCAATTCAGTAATTATCTTGGCTAATTAGTACTGAATTTCTTTCTCATCTTGCTTTCCTTTTAGAAAAGAACCTGCTATTTTTCTCGACTATATTCTGAAATAATAAATAAGCTAAATGCAAGAAAAGTATTTGTTATTTCTTTGGATTAAACTGTACACACACATACATATACATATGCATATGCATAATAAGCTAAATGCAAGAAAAGTATTTGTTATTTCTTTGGATTAAACTGTACACACACATACATATACATATGCATATGCATATGCATAAGTATATATGTATATGTATGTATGTATATGCACACACACATGCACACACACTCACATATGTGTATATATATGTTTGTGTGATGGTAATAGCCTATGTAATTTATAAGTTGTTCTTTCCTGTCCTAATAAAGCTTACAAAAAACACTACATGCACATATCCAAATGATAGAAGTCTTGATCTGTTAGATAGATTTCTTTCCTCTTTATCCCATCACTATTTCTTGCTGATTTTACAAAACTATTATGAATTACTCTGTAATAAAAGTTGCACAATATCAGTTAATAATAATCAAACCACACATCTTCTTTTTGTGGATTTCTACTTTGCTGATCCTTCTGAATTGTGTAAGAATCTTCTCCTTCAGTAACACTTAAAAGTTAAGTGTAGGTCAGTGCACTATAATACACTCCCTTTTTAAATCCTTCTACAAAAAGCTTGAACTTCCTTTTTTCTCTTTCAACCTAACCAGAAATAGCTCCTATTAAATTCTGAGGTTCAACATAAACGAGTAATCATTCTCAAGAACAATAAATTCTGAAGTACTGAGTTGGTCTTGCAGATAGCTGATTGACTGAAGACTTTTCTTACAGCCAGAATTCCTTTTTCTCCTAAATCGTAAGGGTTAGAGTGAACATATAGCACATGCTTTCTGACCTCCGAGCTTTCTGGTTACAGACTACTAACAGCCATAAACCAAATATTTATTTTCTTTGCTAAAAAAAAACTAAGTCATTCATCTGATTTATCATCTTTGATTAATTTTGTAGGGGTTGGTGTACCACTTTAATCTCGTCAAGCCTTAGCCAATCCATGATGACATCAAATAAACAAATAAAGAATACAGGGATAATGCTCCTATTTTTCCAGATACTCTCTTAAAAATGTTAGCTCTCCGATTCTTAAATGAGTTGTTTTAGTCTCTAAAAAGAACAGTTGCAACCTTTTGCCTATCGTCTTCAGTGTTAATATTTAATACCCAGTGAGTATGTCTAGAATAGAAGTTTGATAAGTTATCAGAAGGAAAGGGGCATAGGCTGGGGTCATGGAAAGGAATATGCATTCTTAATACTATTAATGCACATGGGAATATTGCAACTCGTTAATCCAAAAACAAATATTAAATATTGGTATGTGAATGTATTTACAGTGCTCTAATCGTCTATTTAAAGACAACCTTTCTGTGGTGCTCTTTAGGCACCCTTTCAGCAGCACAATATTGCTTTCAAAGGCTTAGGTATGTTTTTATATCAGCTACCGTCTTACAATAACATTCAGAAGGTTAATCAGTACATTGTAATATTCCATATACTTTTAACTACAATATACAATCTAAGATAAATAGCCAGCCATAATCTTGAACATGCTTTAGCCCCTTAAATTGTTAAAAGCTGCAGTGCCCTTTCAATCTACTTACATAATGTTATAAAATATACATTTCAAGGTAAATGAAGTCAGCTACTTCAATTTAGTCTCTCAAACTGGTAGTAAATGAGAGGTTAACACTATGGTGCCAAACCCATTATTGAGTAAATTTAGCACCTTGGACAGCTCTGTAAAATCTTTATTGCTTTCCTGACCTGCTCGTCATGTTCTGTCTATGTGTTCAGTGGCTCTCAGCTCTGATTGAAAGGCAATATATTAGATCCCGAACACAAACACGCTCGGGGTTGGTTCGCTGTGAACATAATGACATGGAGGTGAGAACAATTTTCTGGTGACTGCAATTCAACCACCTTGCCAGGGCTGTTGCATGAACGGTACTTTCTAGAAGACTTTTACGCATCACATTGTGTCTGAAGTCAGGACTGTTCTCAGAAATGGGTTGAAACCTAAAATGTTTTAAATTACATTGGTCGCTGTGTAGAATGTTCTATATTAACATACAATAGAACAGAAAAACTAGCATTTTTATATAAAAGTTTAAAAATTACCTCACAAGATTTTTTCCATAATTGTTTTGCAACATCTGAGAAAGCTAAATGAAAGAACAGTGTTATTATGTAGCAATTTTGTTAAGAAAACATGAAATGTATAGGCAATTCCTTGTTATAAAGAAATGGAACCTAAACAGTGGCAATATGTAAATTGTAGTGATGCTTATTCAATATATTCCAATGAGAAATTATGAGAAAGTGTCTGCAATTAGAATTGTTTTATTGTAATCTTACCAACTATTAAGAAACTACCTGTGAAGAATGGAAGTTTAGATTGCCTGTAGTTACTTTAAGACCGTCCAAAAGTTTAATTCCATCAATGGAATTTCCACACAAAAATAAAGTTATCATTTTGTGTGGAAATTCCATTGGCAGAATTAAACTGTTCCAAAGTTAATATCTGATTTATTTTGTGCATATTGATGCTCAGACTTAAAGCAAAATACAGTTTTTATTATTAATATGGGCTTATAAGACATATAGGACATAAGATATAAGACATATTTCTCATAACAACAAGAGAGATTTGCCATTTTATAATAATGTTATGCAACAGCTGATGATGTCACCTGGGATAGCATTACATTTCCAAAATTATCTTGTCTGGATAAGATGTTTTAATTTACTAGGAACTGGAAAAGTCAAATGTGACAAGCTGTTTTTATCTTGTATTCTAGATTTTTAATCTTTTACAAGGCAGGCTGAGCTCACTGATTTTTTAAGTAGCTTGGCTGAACCAGCATGGCCTGATTCCATATGGGTATTGTGTGCATTCAATTCATACGCTTGTAAATTATTCAGTACTTTGGTCAGGATGCATAGAGAGGACAAAGACAAGAGCTAGTGATCTCTTCAGAAATAAATAGTTTCAAATGCATTGATTCAAAACCCATCAATTATATAATGCAGCTGGCTGCAAGCATTAAAAAAAATTGAAATGTGCATTATGAAAGGGAGAATGTGCTATGGTTCTAAGGAACGATAAATTGTATGGGGGTTCAAAACATACTTATAATCTCATTTTTAAATTTAGGACATCATGTATATCATAAGTACCTACTGCAATATGCCAACTCTTTTTGCATATATTGTAGAGAATTTTAAATTGAAAAATGCTAATATGCATCTAAAAGCTTGTCATCTGAAGAGTTGTTCAAGGATTTTGAAGAGGTTATGGTGACAGCAAAATGAATGCAATTATATCTCTCTCTTCTGATAAGAGACTATATAGTATATGAAAATTGAGCATTACTACTTCTTTTAGTTAGAAAATTTAACTAGTGTATAAAACATTCCTAGTTAAGCTTTTCAGCTTAACTCAAAAGTCAGTTCTTAAAAAAACGCATCTAGCTTCAGAAAGCATTTACAAAAGTGTATTACAATTCAGCTTTTATGCTGTCATGCCTACAAAGATCAATTATTTTGGGTAGAAGTTACTAAGATTTTAATACGTATAGTGGGAACCAAATGTATATTATTGTTTCTGTGATGTAGAAAGATACTTGTAATTTACAAATGCCCTTTATTGACTCCACTCTTGTCCTCAAAGTTTTACGTGCTAAAAATATAAAGAGAGCATTGTGCTATGCAGATGTCAGTCTCAGGACCATGAAGGTGTAAGCTGGAGCTGGGAAATGAAGAGATGTACATAATACAAATGAGTTTAGGAACACAACAGGGATAAATAAATGAGCAGATGGAGAAGTGAGCAACCATGGAAATTAAAGTTAGGCTTATGCTTAAAATTTGGACACTCCACCCACATCCCTCCCTGAAGAATAACATTGATATCTTATTCTCAGTTGCTGCTTGTCTTCAAAACCTTTCTTTCCTTTTTGAATACCAGCCTATGGCACCCAACTATGGGAAAAAGACGAAGCATAGAACTTGGTATTGTTATCAGATCAGCAACAGCAATCCAGAGATAGCTTAACAATATGGTTGATCTGATAAGGACACGTTCCTATTATATAAATTAAGAGCCAAATAAACAGCATGAAAGAAATCTGTAATGTGCGCTGGGTGACATTGATTGCAATTGAACAAAGAAATGTAGGTCTTATTCGGCAATAAACCTGCAAGCAGCTTCTGTGCAGTCAGTAGACAATTGAGTGACAGATTTTATTTTGCAGCTCAAGCAGGTTTTACCTTTTAACTTTTGTGTGAACTGGATGAATTCATGATTTAGCAATATTCTGAGTTGACTAGGCACTGTTGATATGTAAGACTGAAAACAAAGCTGTGACTGAAAACAAAATTGAAGGCACGATGTTAGAACTGCATTTGCTGTACATGAATATGGATAAAATTCTCCTTTTCTTTCTAACAGGAAGTAATACTCAAGAGGGCAGCTGATCTGGTGGAAGCACTCTATGGTATGCCACATAACAATCAGGTAAATGCAATCTGGGTTAAGTAGTGCTCCGTTTGGTGTTCTGAAATCTGTGCAGAGTCATCTTGCATGGACAAATAAAAATAAAATTGCAAATTGGCAAACAGTAACAGCAATAGGAATAGCTCTTAGACTTATATACCACTTCACAGTACTTTACAGCCCTCTGTAAGCTGTTTACAGAGTCAGAATATTGGCCCCAACAATTTGCGTCCTCATCCAACTTTGGAAGGATGGAAGGCTTCCTTAATGGTGCCATAATAGATCTATGAAAACTTCTCATGTGAATCAAACTCATCTCGAAGTTTCTAACAGTAGTAGCATTTTAATTTTTGATTTGCATTGTTAAAATAATGAAAACACTATTCTGTGTTATTACTATTTTATAGTTTTAATGTGTTATGCTTTCAGTAGAATTTGAAAACACTAGTATGGTATTAGCTGTTTATTAATTGTTCGTGCCTAGTGGTTAACTTAATATCAGTGTAAAATATAATGTACAATTTAGGCATTCTATTTAGAGCCTTATCTTAGTGTGATTTAAGAAGTACAGGTCTAAGTAATTCTCAGTAGGCCGGGTCCAGATTTTATAGAACTCTTTTACAAGCTCCTTAAACTGAAGACAGATGTTTAACACTGGAATCATGTGCCTTTCCAAAAATACATGCACTGAAGTAAATGATGGTCACACATAGTTGTCTGATATCAAAATATTGGGATTAATCTCCCCATTTACGGTCCTTTGTCTGTGAAGCTCTATTTTTCTGTGTCTTTTGCTTTCTGGAAGCTAGATAGCTGTTCACTGCAAATTGGGACTGGACTAAAGGTTTTCCCAACACATATCTATTTGTTCTTTCTAAGAACTACTTGTATTACATGTAATATGTCTTTGCATGTATTATTTTACATATAAACATCTTCAACCTTATAACTTTGTCTCCATTTTATAGAATACAAGTAGTCCTCGATTAACAACCATTCATTCAGTGTCGTTCGAAGTTACTACAGCAGTGAAAAAAGTGACTTAGGACCAGTCCTTGCACTTATGACTGTTGCAGGATCCCCACAGTCACATGATGAAAATTTGGGCACAATGCAGCCAGCATGCATTTACAATGATTGCAATGTCCCCAGGTCACGTGATTGCTATTTGAGACCTCAATACCAGCTTCTGACAAGCGAGGTGAACAAACCTTGTGTAGCACAGGAAATACTGGTCCCAGTTGTGCTTGTTAGTCAAGGACTACCTGTAGCAGCAAAGAATTGATTCATCCTGGTATCAGTTACTATTATTCACTATTCCCTTTGAACAAATGAAACTATAATAATCTGATTCATTGCTCAGTTTTCCATTGCTAAGATGCAGACTCATATTTATCACCATTGCTGCAACCTAGGGTTCCGTGATTTCCCTTTTGCAACCTTCTGATGAGCAAAGTCCATGTGGAAACCAGATTCACTTAACCACCATGTTGCTACATTAACATCTGTAGTGGTTCACTTAACAACTGTGGCAAGATAGATTGTAAAATATGGCAAAACTCACTTTAACAAATGTTTCACTTAGCAACATAAATTTTGGACCTATTTGTGGTCGTAAGTCGAGGACCTACCTGTATTTAATTACTTTCCTTCATATCTAAACTCATGTTTTGGCAGGAAATAATCCTGAAAAGAGCAGCTGATATTGCAGAAGCACTCTACAGTGTCCCTCGTAATCATAACCAACTCCCCGCGCTCGCTAATACATCAGTCCATGCTGGCATGATGGGTGTGAATTCATTTAGTGGTCAATTAGCAGTAAATGTCTCAGAAGCCTCACAGGCCACCAATCAGGGTAAGCTGAAGAAGGCCCCTCCCCTCTTTTCAAGACTTTCATATGGTAAATAAAAATCATAATGCATATTACTTTCAACCATCATGCTTTTTTCCTTTAGAGTCCTATATAGAACAGCTCAGAATCCAGGCAATGTACAACACATTCGCATAATCGTCTGTGGAAAAGAGCATGATAAATCAGGGTTCTTGTGAAGGACAGAACACATTGTCAACCACACATTTCAATGAATTTTGATCCATAAATCTAAAAGTGAAAATATCCTAAATTAAGCCTATGATTCCTTCATTTCAATACAGGATCAATTGTTGATAGAATGTCAGAATTAGGAAGCAATGTTACTTAGGAAATGTTCCTGCGATCAGGAATTCTGGTCTCGGGGGGGTGACTAGAATCAGTCTAGAATCAGACTAGAAAAGTTTCAATAGGGCAATATAACATGTTGGGATATCATGAGCTTCAGAATCCAGATAATAGTTTTAGTTGCACTTCTGGGATTATTATTACATCCAGCCCATTTTTATTATTTTATTAAGGGATGAGTATTCCTTTTTTTAGTTAGATACTTCTTGTTTATTTCATGCAATCAAGGCCACAAAACCCACAACCCAAAGTGCGTTGTGGTATTTGTTTTCTTTATTTTTTTAATTGATCGTCTTCATAAGTATTCTAATAAATAGATCTCAGAAGTTGCTAACATTGCAAAAATGACTGTCTTTGTTTTAATGTTTTAGAACCAATTTAATCATTTTCCAGATTTAACAAGCAAGAAACACTTTTTACCCTTTAAAAAAATATATTAAGGATTTGTCACAAATGATTAACAGGTTGCTGAATGCGTGTCTGAAAATGTCTGAAGAAAATTATGATATAATAATGCATTGGGCTGTATCCCACAGCAGCTTGTAATATCTTCTACTGTTTATGACCCGCTACAGTGCATCATGCTTACTTAAATGTTTTCTATATTTTTATTGGTGGATTGCCACTATGGAATGCTTTCCCCATGAAAGCTTGTCTGGCATCCGTAATTGTGATTCTTTCAGTACCAGGCAAAGTTTTTCTGTTTCTTCTACATTTTCAGTTGTTTTCAAATACCTTGGTTATCTATGTCACTCATAGAAGTTTCAGTTCCAGCAATCCATATAATATTTTTTTATCATACTATATTTGTAACAATTTGGATTTTCTTTCTGGTTTAGATTTTTTATTGTTTATAGTTGGAATATTGTAATAATGTTTACACTTTAATCCATTTTCGATGACACATAGAAAATGTGATTATAGGGCACATTAGTATAAATAATTTATAATTGATTTATAAGCTATTTTAAAAAGCCACTCCCTCAAATTTTTCCCCATAATTGCATTTTTTTTACTGAAGTCTCATCCAGTTTTAGCATATTATGGTTTGGAATGTTTTGAAACTGGGTGGAACTTTTGGTTGAAAAACAGCTGTTGTGTTTTTTTCTCCTTCCTGAAAAAGGTTTTACTCGCAACTCAAGCAGTGTGTCTCCTCATGGTTATGTGCCAAGCACTACCCCTCAGCAGACAAACTACAACTCTGTCACAACAAGCATGAATGGTTATGGAAATGCTGGAATGTCCAATTTAGGTGGTTCTCCAACCTTCCTGAACGGATCTGCTGCCAACTCTCCCTATGCCAGTATGTATTATTATATGTGTTACAAAATATATGTTGAGTATTGAACTGAGTATCCTAAGCTTTGTAATAATTGAAAACATTTCAAGAATTTTACCAGATAGGTATTGGTGTGCTTTTAATTTCACATAAATAAGTTGAAAGTTGCACAGTGAGCTCTATGCTGTTGCTGAAAATATACTGTATAGCATTAGAATGATACATGAAAATGCAAATCAAAAACATATGTAAGTTCTCCACGAGATGCTAGGTGTTAATAACCCCTAATCTGTATGGAAAGAGTTGGTTAAAGCTAGGCCCATTATTCGATTGATGTTCAAACTTGCAAAGCCAGCAATCAATTTAATTGAAGGTATGGTATCAAACAACTTGACACAAGGAATCTCTGAACTGGAGACCACATTTAAAAAAATAATAATGATGGGGATTTATTTCCCCATGAATATGGGTTGACCACTTCACTGTGCATAACTCTAGGAAGAGAATTAACCTGATTTTACCAGTAATTGAAAAGACCAAAAGATGTTATAATTTATATTATTATAATAGTCTAATTAAAGGGATGCTATACTGGCAACAGATGAGATTGTGGGAGTTTGACAGGATGCTTTATCTAAACAACATTACTTTTGGTTTACCATTAGAAATATTTCAGTAATGCCAAATTTATGCCTTACAACTTGTGAGATGTTTATTCCTATTAATCATGGTTCTTTTGTCTCATCATCATGATTCTTAGAATGGTTTTCTTAATATATACTGCTGCCCTATTAACAACAAATATTGTTAATCAGAAAATGTTTCAATCATGACCTGAGAATTAGAAAGGTGGCATTCTTAATTAAATCAATAAACTAATTGCCGTATAGTTGCAATTCAATTTGGATGCTTTGATTGCTCTCCCTTCACAAGTGTGTGTTTATACCAAGTGACTTTACACCAAGACAGTATCTGTCAGACTGTGAAACTTTGAACATTTAATTTCCATTAATTGATTTCATTGGGGTTCAGAAATATGGTATCATATGTTTACACAGATATTCTAAAGGGATTATTTTTATCTGTATAAATACAAATAAAATAGTCATCTATGCCTCAGCTAATTTGAATTTTCATTCCCAAATCATTTAATTATTCATTAAATATCCTGAACGTAAACAATCTCTAAACAAGATTTTCTTTTAAAAAAATGAATAATTTGGCCTGTGAGTGATTCTTTTTTTTCTTTTCCCCAGAATCATGGAAGACAGTAATTCTGAAGTAATATGGTCCTATTTTGAGTAAAGGCATTAACTATATTATTTAAGGCACCAGCAGGGTTTTTAAAAAGTAATTAAGCATAATGTTGCAGGGGACACAAAATGTGCATGCAGATTGGATTATATATAGATGCAGATAATCTAAAAAGTGCTCCCCAATGTCCTTGAGGGCACTTCAAGAAGTGCTTTTTCTTGAACTGTATGGTCAACAAGAATAGCCTACAGCATGTTATTAATCTGGATAAAACAACAAACAGTGCACAGACATATCTACACATGTACTCCCAAGTTATAATGTATAATAAGCTATTTGGCTCATGGGGCAGTGAATCCTACAAGTGTTTCTTCTCATCTCTGGAAATATAAAAATAATAATAACAATTTAAGAAAAAAATAATTTGCTTGTGTGATGCTCAAAATCATTTTCTTACTTGCAGTACTAATCCTGAAGAACACCTAGGGGAATGAAGTAGAATCCAAAATTTTAACTTGCCAGGTTGTGTCTCTTTAAGAAACAGATTCCAATTCAGGATTATTAATGGGGAAGCAAAGGATGATTCTCTTTCTCTGCCTTCCTGCCTGCCTGCTTGCCTACCTGCCTATCCATCCATCCACCTACCTACTTATTATCACCATCACCTTTTTTGTTTTTACAAATAATTCAAGATGGCAAACATATCAAGCACACTTTTTTTCCTCTTATTTTCCTCACAATGAAGTGAATTGGGCTGAGAGAGAATGTCTGTGCCAAGGTCTGCCAGCTAGAATTCATGTTTAAGGTGTGACTAGAACTCGGGTCTCCTGTTTTCTAGCCTGGTGCCTTAACCACTAGAACAAACTGACTTTATATATAGTTATCTTTCAAAAGCAGTTTAGAAGTTACATCCACAGAATAATGACCACTGCTATTTCTGCACAACTTTGTCCTTAAAGCTAAAATACAATATCTATAATTCCTCATGCTGTTTAGCCTAATTTCAGCAATCCTGAGATACTGCTGGCATGGGAACAACAACATATTCTGCTTCCTTCCCCCATGACCTAGGTTTTCCTCTGCAATGAGGGACTCTCAGTAGGGACATTCAGTTTCGAAGTTAGTGAAATATCAATTGTTCTGGACATCACTAAGGGAGCCTTGCAAATAGAAAAATGAAATACTCCAATTCATTTATGATCTTGAAAAGAATAATTCTTCTCTCTTCTTGTTTTCTTCTAGTTGTGCCATCCAGTCCAACCATGGCATCCTCTACTAGTCTCCCTTCTAATTGTAGCAGCTCCTCTGGGATCTTCTCCTTCTCACCAGCCAATATGGTCTCAGCAGTGAAACAGAAGAGTGCTTTTGCTCCTGTTGTCAGACCACAGACATCCCCTCCCCCTACCTGTACCAGCACCAATGGGAATAGCCTGCAAGGTAGGCCAGTCTGGGCATGCTGCTTTTCTCCGCATTGGCAGGGTAGAGTTGAGTAAGAAAAGAGTAATGAAATTTTAGTTACATGGTGGGGAGATTCCATTGTATAGTTGTTACTCACCCTTGGTTCCCTCACAGCTGATCATTATTATTATGTGTTGAACTGAAATGCTGTGTCTTAAAAGCACAGTCTGAGTGTTTGCTTAAAATGAGTGTATTGCAGCTTACTAATACCAGCCTTTCTCTTTCTTTCCTTTCTTATTCCTTGTTGTTGTCTTTTATCAGACCAGTCTTTTGTGGACTCTAGCAAGTACTCCACTGCAGGGTCTCTCCAGGGTCTGGCCTTCTCCTGAAGTACGTTAGTCAATCTTCCCTTCCTTTCTTTTAATTTTGTTTTTTTTTCCTTTGACATATCCACCACCTGTACTAAGAGCAGCACTGTTTATGATGGTATCATAGATATAAGATTGCATGTGATAGCATATCACTAAGTATAGGTGGCACATTATGTGTTGTATAGTTATCAGTCTTTTTATTTTCCCATGATTAATGTAATGCGAATAACCCACTTCCACTTGCAAACAGTACCTGCCATCTTGAAAATCTATTCAGCTATTTTCATTTTTATCCCATCCAACAGATTGTAACTGAGGCCTTCTCCCATCATAGATTGTGATTCATGCAAACATGGATTACCAATATATCTATGTCTGTGTCAGGAAATTCTTAACATTTCATTAAAGGGGAGAACATTGTTCATATCATGATTTCCACTATTCTTGTTCCATTTGTAGAACATTTTCGTGGAACTCCAGCATTAACAGATGGGCAGAGTATTTCCTGAGAAGTAAATTAAGGATCAACGTCATTAAAATAACATTTAGGATAGGGAACTTTACAGCAAACAACTTCTCTATTCATCAAACTAAATATATATGAACTTCATAACTACATTCTATTTAAATAAAGACAGGCTGCGATAATGAGAAATTTCCACTGTGATGGATAATTCATGTGATCATGCCATCAGTAAATATTTTTAGGTAGGGTGAGTATGTAAGAAATAGATAATTCTATTAATTTCAGGCTGTCAGTGTTATACGTGATAACACTTTTTATCATGATTATCATGATACCATCTATGCTTTTAAAAAGAATAATGCAATCAACATATGCATTAATAGAGCTACTAGAAAAAGTGTGGTTTTGCTGCATTTGTTTAATCTACTGCTTCCTACTGTTTTGCACAAAATTTCTACATTAATATTGATTCTATTGAAGAAATATCTATTGAAATAGATTGAGTAATTTCCAAAAATAGTCAAGAGACAATTCTCCAATTGCCCTTCCTAAAGACAAACTGAAAATTGTCTTTCTTGCCTTTCCTACCTCAGTCCAAAATGGTATTATTAAATGCAAATACTTTCAACTTTTTCCTATGAATTATTTTTAGTAAAAATTAAACCCAATACATCATGGCATAGCAAACATGTCTGAAAATATCCATTATAGACATTCTTCAAATCCTAACAGAATAGTAGTTTAAATTCAGAACATTCAAGCTAAAATTCCTCAGTAACCTACCTTAACAGAATGCAATTTCTTTCTGGTTTTTTTTTTTACATTGATCATATATGTTTTTGAAATTTCCTTCATTTTAATAAGCAAAGTAGAATAAGGATACTGCTCTTTGCATAAATATATAAGTGGCTCCCTTGGAGTTTGAGATATTTCCCTGCTTTTTTTAATCTTGGCCTCTCATTTTACAAACAAAAACTTGTTTGTGCAAATATTTCTTTTAATTCTAGGGCAGTGAGGATTAAATGTAACACTTTGAAATGTGAGACGCCTTTTTGAGATAATCCACATGAAAGTAGAATAACCAGGTTAGGCAAATAGATGATACTTTTACCTCTGAAGATTCAAAAATTGCTTTCTGGAAAACTTTAGTCTACATTGATTGCTATAAAATTTCATTTCATGTCCAATTTCATGTTCTTGTTTGGTTTGCATTGGTAATGTTGACTTAACATCCTCGATTTCCCAATTTCTGAATACATTTTTCTCATGACCAAATACCCTTATGGGCAGATTTGATTAAAAAGAGTATTGAGTCCTATGTGCAATCTGCAGTAAAATTATTTGTCATATGTGCATTGGACCGCAAGTCAGAAAAGTGAAAATTATGTATTTAACATAGGGACCATATATATCATAAAAGCAATTTCCTGATTTACTGTTTCGTTTGGCTTGTTGGAGGGCTGCCCTACTGTGCTTAACCCCCTCATAATTACCATATTACCACATTCTAAAGCATTGAGTAGAGAGACATTTCATGCTCACTTAGTCAAGAAGGGTCTCACAAGCCCCAGATGCCTCAAACAGCTCTGGGGGTAGAGGGTTACTGACACATGCTCATACATACTGTAAACAGAAAGGACTTACTATGCTTAGAGACAAATGCACTGCATCCACTGCATTAGACCCAGACAGACCCTAAGGGTAAAAGCCCATCATTGGATTGTTTTCCCTTCAAGAATAAAAAGTATGGAAAATAAATCCAATGGACATTTCACTTTGGTAAATGGAATATGCACAGGAAGTGAACAAGAAAAAGAAGAATTAAAGAAAATTAAGATTCATTTACAACTTATTCACTAGTCTTTAGGTCACAGATTTTAATTGGAAAGCATCTCCTTGGCTATAAGGGTCAGAACTGCCTTGTATTAAAAAAAAGCATGGCAAATAATAGAAAGAATAATAATAATAAATGTGCATCACTCTTGAAATGGCAGCTTATTTTAAAGCTGCAAGGTATTTAACAACGACAAAAAAAGAAAAATAATCCAAAAATATAATCACAGTGGTGGGCTCATTGTGAAACACGGTCAATACGAGCCATATATTTGGTCAAGTGGATCTGCTTGGATTATGGACAAATTAAATTAGACAATGTTACCTTACGCCTTGCAGTGAAGCTGCTTCTGTCCCTCCTCTCACTTGCCTAGACTTCTGCAAAACACGCTCAAAGAAAGAGTGAGAAGGATAAACTGCAGTTGAACCTCATGCAATTGGAAATCCAAAGGAACATATCTGATGTGTGCCAATTTATTGCCAATTAACTGTGATAGAACTAAGCATTTGAATGGGAACCAGAATATTGATTTATTGAACTACATAAAACCAAAGAAACTGAAGACTGTTGGAGAGATGAATGGAAATCAAGGTAGCCTTGCCTACAACATTAAAAATAAAGTAAATGCTAGGAACCTGCATCATAATCCATTTTGCTGAAATTTAAAAGAAAAAAAATGAAATTAAAATTCATTTTAATGAAAATTGATAACAATGTCTGAAAAAGGATAACTAAGCAATGAAGTTGTAATCATGATATCACATGATCATGCCACTCAGCAATGAAAATTTCAGAAGTCCCTGTTTATAATTGTTAAACAGGGACTATGTGGATTGTTAAGCAAGGACCACATGAGATTTTTGACTTCCTGCTGTCTTCCCCATTTACATGTTGGAAGCTAGCAAGGAAGGTCACAAATTGCAATCATATGACCATGTGACAATATGGCAGCCAGAACTTTGAGAATCAGTATGCCGTAAAACTTCAAACTCTTGCAATTATTAATCATATCTGACTTAGTAGTATTAATTGTATCACAGAATATATCTATCCACCATCTTTAATAAAATCCTCAAAACATTTAGAAACAAAACAACTTACATACTAAATATTTAGCATTTAGCAACCAGTACTTACTATTATTAAAACAATTTAAAATTTAGCATTTAAAGATACAAATATCTCAAAATGCAGCCTGGGAACCGTCATCAGATGTATTTTTTTTCCACTCAAGAGTTCTTAATCTGATCACAAAGTCAGGAAAAGTTAAAGTCTTCTGTTATAAAAGACTATATCCCATCACACCAAATCTTTGAAGAGTGCCCCTGAAGAAGGGAAACTATTTTCAAAGGGAATGTTTACTATGCTACCAGAATAGGTCACACCTTTAGTATGCTTGACTCCAAAAGTTTAGATATATTTTGCTTTCTCGTCTCCTCATACTTTATTTATTTGTTGCCATTCACCTAAATTGCCTTTTTGTTGCTGATTAGTCTTGCAATTCATGCACTTATGGTGATGGCTGTGGGGTGGAAAACATTCCCTTTCATTTGGACTTGGTTCTTATCAAATTATTGTAGATGTAATTAAAGTACAAGAATTAGAAGCAGTCATGGGTTTGAGTTCTTCCTCAAGAAATCATTTGTCCAGATTTTTAAGATGGTGGCTATAACTGTGTACCCTTGAAAGACATTACCTAAAGTCCAGAATTTGTCATATCCCTTGATGCATTTTAAAAGACAGCTGTGCCACAGCCATCACCACAAGCCATGTGTGAATGCCAGTGGCAATGACGTATTTGCTTGCAGTAGGTCATTTTTCATATTGCATGGAATGGGTGAGTCTAGATTATCTCTGCAGATAATGTATAGGCCTATTTCTTTGCAAATGAAGTGCATTTATTGAAATGATTTAATGTGAGCTAATCCTATTGAAGTCAGAGTTCTTTCAAACTGTTTTCTTTTGAAAGACTGTAGCTGTATTAATCTGTAGAGAAATAAAATTATAACTATTTGTTTCAAATAACCTCACGTTCTTAAATATATAAAACATTATGATGCAATTGCATTGAGCAGGGATATTATATTTACATGAATAAAAGATATGAAGAGAAAATAAATCAAATACAAGAAAGGATAATAACAATAGAAAAGTGTGCAATCTTCATGCCCTACACATAGTCCATCTGACTACTGTTTGAAGTTGGAAAGATACTTTTTCTTTGAAGGTTTATTTATTTATTTAAGTAGCAGTTATAGATGAAAATCTTTTTTATCAGTTTCCAAACTGGCAACAGTTTATAGACAAATTGTTATTTATAGGTACAAAACAATTTTTAATTTTCTGCATGGTATCTCCAAAAATTCATTTTTCATAAAATCCTACTTATAAATCATACATGTAGCTGGTCAACACCCTTCTCTTGAATTTAGAATTCTATTTGGCAAATTGAAAGAAGAACCACAAGATTAAAAAGTTTTTTTTTCAAGTAATAACTTTATTATTTAAATTTTTCTTCATCAGAATTGATATTGCAATCAGTTTAAGGATTGGCAGGATTATTTCTCACAATCAAACTTCAGTCAAATAACTTTGGATTGAGGGTTATAGTCTGAGCTTCATTAAGGATTTTAATTTGCTTGCATGCAACTTCTATCGAGATAGATTACATTTTTCTTGCAAGCTCTTGCTGAATACTTTAGAATTTTACGGCTGAAATAAGTGATTCTAGAATAATGGACTAACTGACTAACATCAGCTATTATTTTTCTTTCTAAGCTTTTACCCATTATAATGTGTAAATCAGGGGTGAAACCAACTTACCTTCACTACCGGTTTGCAAATGTGAGTGTGCGCGCTTGCACTTCACTCACTCGCTTCACCTCTGTACATGCGCAGGACCTTCTGCGCATGCGTAGAGCATAAAAAATGGGTTGTGATGACATCTGTCTGGGTGGGCGGAGTCTCCAGCTGCCATCTCTACCGGTTCGTCTGAACCATATAGAACTGGCTGAATTGCACCACTGGTGTAAATCCGACTTTTGAAGCACAGATGAATGATCTACTACTGAATATTTGAAACACATGTTTTCTTGCCCCAAATGACATAACTGATTTATTTTTGTGTCTCCTTCCTTCTCACCTTTACAGCTATATCTGGCATGATAGTTCCTCCCATGTGAATGAAATGCCTTGAAGAATTGACTAATGAAGGATTTGGATTCTGCTCCAGAACAAAGTCTGACCCAAGCCCCAGAGGGAACTTTTAACTCAGGCCTTTCTTCAAGGAAAAAGGAAGACTCTCACAATAACTGCAAAGTTTTAAAAAAATACACATTTTTTTTGAAAAAATGCCATCCTTGCAAAATAGTCCTGAAATCTACTTACAGCCTGCAAGGGCAAGATGTTAATTTGAGCTGTCCGTCCCAAGTTCTTGGGGAGAAATTTGTGTCCTGAAGAAAATACGCTTTGGTCTTTTCCATTTTTATGGGTCACCTTTGGTCTTTTACAAATCACAACGGGAGGGAGAGGCACAAAGATGAAAAGCCAACTTAAGAACTTTCTTTGTTGTAGTTGTTTTTTTTTTTAACTGTCTTAAAGGGAAATAAAGTGGCAACACATGAGTTTCTATGGAACAGAAGTAGAAGTGCCAGTTAGGAATTATTGATGTTTTTCTTTCCTTCGAAAATTAATGGCTGTGCCAGTAAGGGTTGTTTTCATGTTTTACTTAACCAACAATAGCACATACAGCTGGGATTTGCAGTCTGGGGAAGTATCAATGAATGTCCATGTGAGCATAGATACAAAGATACACCATATACACATACACAAAAAGGATTTCATTTTAGAAGCCATGATTCCCCTTCCCCTTAATCCCTCCACACCCTTTTTAACAACATTGCATTTAGAAAATTGTGTAAATACTGCAAGGCAAGGGGGGTGGGAAGCATATGTGTAGCTATGGACATGCATTTTCCATCTTTACTTTGGTAACCCAGTGCCTCTGGATATAATGCTAAAAACTGCAAATCCGATTAGCATGGCTCTCTGTCTTTTGCTTTTAACCAACTTAAATCCAAATACAGTCTTAAACTGTCTTTGTCTGTAAATCTCATTGAAATTTGATAGGACAGGACAAAGGCACAAAAGTGAGCCGTTCAGTGCATTTTTGAGCATATTTTTTACCAAAAGATTCTTTCCTGATAACTGTATCTTTCATTTCGGAATAGGCCAGGGTGCGGGAGGGAAGGGGAGGGAGGGAGTGACAAGATACAGGATTCATCCTGCCATTCCAGAGGATGGTCCATAAGCACACACATAGGAAAAAGGACATATCTGGTTTGAGCTGCAGTTGTTGTTGTATCAGGCAACCATTTCAGTTTGCAACATAATCTCTTAAGCAACAAGTGGTTGCATTTTTGAGAATATGTATAGGAGAAAAAGGGTGAAGAACACAATAAGTTATATGACAGTTGCAAAATAAACCACCCAATTTACAGGAATTTATCTCTTGTTACTTGGAAAGTTTCCTAGTTAAAGATACAACAAATCTTTACAAATGCATTCATTAAATAATCTGTTTGGGGTTTTTTTCCCTTTGCTGTGGCATTTTGTATGTAGTTATAAATAAATACTGTAGATTTTTTTGGCCAAATTATTGTTCTATTTATACAATTTAATGTCTTAAGACAGATTTTCAACCACACACAAATCTACAAGAATTACTGCATATTTTGCAAAATGAGCTCACTACCTTTATGATTGCACATGCTTGCAAAATGAATTAAAGAAATAAAGCTTTTTTAATGAAGAATTTTGTAAAATACCCATATAAATAATGTATTTAACTTTGAACTTTGTACATTGCTTTTTCTCTGCAGCATCCTAGTTTATTTTATTGTGTAATTTTGCTATGTGAAAAGTGCTAATTTGTTTGTTCATTCACAAGTGTGTTAGCTGTTTAAATGTGATTTAATGCAATTCATTTATACTTTTTTAGTAATTGTTTTAAACCAAGCTTCCATTTTTGTTTTAAGTTCACCAAAGCCATTGTCTATTTTTGTATTATTTCTAAGTTAAGAAGTTTTTTTCCCCAATATATGGCAAAAAGTAGCATATTATTCTTATAGCATTTAGTTACGTAGATTTAAAAAAAAGTATTCTTTGCTTTTGAGGCTTATTAAAAAAAAATCTAAAGCTGTTTTACTCTATTAATATGCATGGAATCTCTCCCCTTTGAAGTGACGCATTTTTGTGCATTAAATATGGGGAGAAACTTCATAGAAATTAATGAAAATACTTTCTTTCTTGTCTGCTTGTATATTTCTCTGTCTTTCACATAAATATAAACCAGCAGATTGGATGCCTTAACAATGCAAAGCATATTCATTTCACTTGTACATTGTACTGAGCATCAAAACTGTCAATCATTACTAACATTCTGAAAAAAAAAGGATTTTGAAAAGCACAAAAGAACTGTTTTGTTACCTTAAGAAAATATGACTTTTTTTCTAGACAAGCAACAATGCTGCAACTGTGCATGCTTCCTGTATGAATTTTGTAAGGGATTCACTCAGATTTCACTGCGTGATCTTTCGGGAAAGGGAAAAGGGTGGGTGTGGCAAAGAGAGAGAGAGAGACCCATAATGTATTCTTTCCCCTCAGAAAAACAAGAACATAGTCACACATAAAGAAATTAGAAAATATAAGGAATTATCAGTGTATTGTTTCATTATAATCCAAACATTTGTTCTAATTCTTAAAGTAACAGTGGCACACAAATGTAATCAAATTAAAGCCATATTTTGTCCAGTGATGCCCTCCATGGAATTCCAGTCAGACAGATTATTTTTATTTAAACGGTTACATGAATGTGTATAGCCTGTTTCCTTGACCTCCAAAGATCATGTGACAGTACACAGACTTTCTTTCGTTTTCCAAGTATTTATAGTGCGTGATAAAGAAAAGTTATATTTTAAATTATCTCCCCGCCCTGAATAGATTCCTATGAGTTCCAAGTCCATTCTTAAAGATACCGCTCTTTACAGAATATGGCTTTAAGTGGGAATGATCATGTTTCAGACTTAAAATGTGATTTCTCACCTTGGCTGGGCTGTGAGAATGATGTCTGCTTCCTCTCCATTGTAGCCAACTGCATCTTAAAAATGAAGTCATCTCTGAACTGATTCTCCTTTCATTTCTTACTGAACCTTTTGGAATAGACACAAACGCTGTACAGTTCTATTGTTAGAGAAGAAAAAACCTAACTACTGTAGAGATTGTTATAATTATTTTGCAGAAATTCAAGCTGTAAAAACTTTTCAACTTTCACACTATTTAATTAAAGTTACTTCCTGTCTGTGAGTGCAGCTCCTGGCTGAGTATTTTATTCCTTTGGCTTTGCTAAGCCAACAGATGAGAACAGTGGTGACATCTAATATGTTTTTGCCACTGGTTCTACTGGGCGTGGCTTGGTGTGGGGTGTCATGTGACCGGGTAGGCGTGGCCAACTTTTCCCCACTTTTTAAAACATTTTTTTTCCTGCCAGTTCAGGTGAATAGGTAGGAAAAAAATGCTTTAAAAAGTTTTAAAAAATGTTTCTGACAATCGTGCATCACAGCTGAATGTCATGGAACTTTTTTTTCACTTTTTAAAGCTTTTTTTATGAATCTTAGCATTTTTTTTACTTCTGTTTCTAGCGAACTGGTCAGAACCAGTAGCATTTCACCCCTGGATGAAGACCAGTTGATTTGCCCCTTGTAGGTTTATACTGCAAAATATGAAGCGGCTAAAATGGGGCCGGGGGGGGGGGGGCGGCACAGGGCTTTTGACTTGCCTTTCAAATAGATTGAGAGAGAGAGAATATTCAGAGATATCCTACACATTTTGACAAGCATAAGGATCAACATAGCTGTTCTCGCATTTAAGGTATTATTTGTATGCACCTCCCTATATATTGAAGGATATAGCTTTACAGCGACATACAGTAAGTCCTCAACTTACAACAGTTCCTTTAGTGACTAAAGTTACAACGGCACTGAAAAAAAGTGACTTATGATTATGAAGTTATGACCTTTGCAGCATCCCCATGATCATGTGATCAAAACTCAGATGTAACTGTTTCACATTTATGACCACTGCAGTGTCCCGCCGTCATGTGATTCCCCTTTTACAACCTTCTGACTAAATCAGTGGAGAAGCCAGGTTCTCTTAACAATGGTGATACTAATTTAGTAATCACAATGATTCACTTAACAATGGTGGCAAGAAAAGTTGTAACATAGGACTAAACTCAACAAATTTCTTACTTAGCAACATAAATTTAGGGCTCAGTTGCGGTTGTAAGTCCAGGACTACCTATATTTTAAAGCCCTGTCAGACTGAATAAGAATCCTCTTGGGTTTAGGCAAAAGCTGATTTCTCCAGCATTTGGTGTGTCACACAATAAGGAACCACTAACACTTTTCAAGGGAACAAGAGATGTTGGTAATCAGCTGTTGCTCTTTGGCCTGGTATTGAAAAAAATCTGTCTATGATTCAAGCCAAGGATACCAATAGTTTTGTCCACCATGAATTTATCCAGTCCTTCTTTACAACCATCTAAATTAGTGGCATCAGGACTGATCATGTAATTTAGTTGTGTAATACAAAGAATGCTTCCTTTTAGCAGACATGAAGTGCTTAGTGTGTCCATTAAACTTCCAAGTTCTAATACGATGAAGGTGAAAAATAACACTTCACATTGTGCATACCCCTCTGAATATGTACAATCTCTCCCCTTTTCCCCATCATTCTTCTTCTTAAATGCCTCCATATGCCAAAGTTGGTCTTTGTTTAAAAAAAACTGCTCAAACCCATTTTGGCTGTCCTTTTCCACCTCTTTTCCAGCTTGACAACTGTGGATGTAGTGAGAATTTAATGCCATATTATGGCATTGATTTATAAAATGGCATTGCTGTATTTGTAATTTCCATTCCATTTCTAATGTTTCCTGGCACGGAATAATTCTCCTTTTCCTCCTTTGCATCCACCACACAAGGAACTGGCATTTTCCTTGAATTAGCCACCATACATGCAAAATCTCTTCTGAATACTGACTGCCCTCTCAAATCCTTTGGCATCTTTATAAATAAATGAAAGTGCACCAGTTCCAGAAGATTATTGGTTATTCATTTTTTATGTTATATTTTCTACTGAAGAAATTTGTTAGCAAACGTCTGAGTATTATACATTATACGTATCTCTATGCACTACTTAGTGTCATTACCAAATGATAAAATAACCTGAATTTGCTCAGGAACCTTTGGTGATTGACTTCGTCAGAGGTTGTTTTTTTTAGAACAATATATCTATTTTGTTGATACCTTTTAAAGATAAGTTGGGGGAGAGACTTACCCTCATAAAACACATGCAAATTTCTCTTCTATGCCTTTATAATTGATGATTTTTTTTTCTTAATAATTCTTGCTAACAACTCAGCAGTTACAGATGTTAAACTAATTGGTATGTAATTACCTATATCAGATAAATAAGGCTTGGGAGGATTAATTTATATAAGGCCTATAACTTCTTTTCCTCTCTTTTTCCACCTGAAAATGTCAGTTCAGACATGAGTATCTATCTATCTTCAGTAGGATTTGAACCTGTTTTCATAGGTACTGAACAACTAAAGCACATTATTGAAAACATGAAGTTGTGTATTTTTACTCTGATACTTCTCTGTGTCTTATAAAGCCCTGGAAATAAATTATATGTAACTTTACTCTTTTTATTAGTAGAACACAACCCAGAACTGCCTGCATTAACTATAGGTAGTCCTTGACTTGCAACAGTTCATTTAATGACTGTTCAAAGTTACAATAGAACTGAACAAAGACTTATGACTGTTTTTCACAGTTATAATCTTTGCACTATCCACCTGATCACATCATCAAAATTCAGATGCTTGCAACTGGTT